CCTTTGCGTCTCTCTTTTACATCTTTAAAACACTCTTCTTTCCCACTCCCCTCTCGAAATTTTTTTTCCACATTGATATTTCTTCTTTTCTGTGAGGCCTGAAGTCACCTAACGGGCTAATGAAACTATCAAGATGCCTGCCATTCGAGATAACTAAATAAATATTTCCAATTAAAATTCAATCGCCCCTATCTCAACAATGGAACTTTGTTCCCTCTTCAACAGACCCACAAGGTTGTCTCAAGCTTTGCTAAATAACTGTTGTACCGGCGGTGTTTTTCTCTCACGGTGACAAGCCTAATCAAAATCCCGTAGTCACTCGTGTTATTTAACAGTAATCTTGATTTAATTAATCCTTCACCATCTCTTTAGTCGCCTTTGAAAATTCTAAATTATGTTAATTTGTAAGTGTGTTAAAGTGAGTATTTAATCATATTTATCTACTTGGAGTTTGAGAGGTCCTGCCGCCTCCTTTTTGACTAGCAATTAATTAAATGCAATAATATCTGCGGTGATTATGAATTTTATGAAAATATTATGAAGTTTGCTTTTACCATTCTAAGTAATACTTCCAGGATATACAATTTTACTACCAAACGGGTTAAATTAGCAATTACGGTTATGTAAGGAAGTGTTATTTACTAAAGTATTTGGGCCATTTAGAATAACTGCCCTCCCAGTGCTCTGCTTCGCAAGCCTCAGCAACCCACATGACGATATGGTCGTTAGAACGTGCCCAATCACAAGAAATACCGACAGTGTTGAAGCGGGTTAGATGGATCGCCATTACCGTTGACTTATGAGTATTAGACTAGATCAGAAAAGTAAAACTCTAAATCTAGCGTCCTGTCTTTCATTTCTCCTTCCATTTGCTTGCCCTCCACAATTAACCACGATTGGAGACCTATTTTATTCTCTTTATAAACCAATCTTGATAAATCATCTCCTTTTCCTCGACGTGCTGAGCGTAATCTTGTTAGTTCTTGATGCGATACACGCCGTAGCTCTTATAAAACCTCTCACCATTAGTAAATGCAAACACCAGGAACGCAGACTTACCGACAATATCAAGGCTTGCGCAGCCAAGGTTTGAATTCAGATGCTAACCCAGCAATTTCGTCTTTTAAGAATCAAGTAAATGCGAGGAATTTTGCGCATTTTGTTAGAAATGAAAGAGGGACGAGGTATGTGTAAAATTTTACTCTAGATAGACCAACCAGTAACATGTCTAAATTGTCATCTTTGCGATTATAATTATTTTGTTCTCTTAAGTGAATTCGTCAACAATATTTCTTCATACCTCCCCAGATTTAGTAGACTTATCATTATTTCAGACGCATAGAAGGCGTAATTACATTAGATCACTATTCAATCCCGCCACAATCTAATATTCTTTATGCTCTATTTTCTTCTTGAAATTAGTTTCATTGATTAAAAATGATTTCGTCGAATGTATAAAGCCGTTGGAGAGAAATAGGCTGTTTTGCATTAAAGAAACTTACATCAACCAAAACAAAGTAAGTAGAATTCAATTATCAAATGAGGTTTTATTGTGTCTAGGTATAGAAAGATAAGAATGAAGCTGAGAATTTAATTTTTATTATCTTCTACCTTTTCGCAAAGACATTGTTCAAGGAAGAACTCTTTCATTTCACTCCTTGTCAAATCTTGATAGCAACAGGGTACTTTTCCTTGAAGCTGACAGCATTCTCTGATGTATTCTTCATTTCTAACTAGTTCATCATAGGCAAAACCAGTATTTCTAATGGCTTCCCAATTAAATCTCCCACCTTCGTATTCAGGAAGATTTGTTTTACCAGCATATTTAAGTAGTTTTCGATTTGCCACAATTTTACGATAAACATTAGCAACAAATTCATCCGATTTTGTTTCCTTCTTTCTTAGATATCTCCATTTAACACCGCGCAGAATAAAGGCGTATTTTATTGAACTAATAGCATTGGCAATCCAACCAAGAACGTAGAATTTAATAAATAAAAGAATCAGAAGACCCAGCATGAGGGCAGTGCCCACTATTATAATTTCAGCGTGCTGTTCGTGAACCCACCATTCAATATGAGTTCGAGGATCGGCGAAGAAACGTGTAGATAGCTTTACACTCTGTCCCAACAGATCATAATCAAAATCTTTGTTATATTCTTCTAAACTTGGATAGAGTGGATCAATCAACAGGTTCTCTTCACTTTTCATCTTGCTGAAAAGTTGGGCAGCTGAAAATAAATTTTATTAGAAATCGATTAGATGATGATTCCATTAAGGTTAAATTGGCAAATTGACAAAATTGCAGATAATTATCAACGTATTACTTCAACGTATTATTTCATTGTTGCATCGCTACTTGCATACTTCGAGTAGAGTGAATAACTGAGGCACCTATCGATTGAACGTATGATAAAATACTAAGATGGCCACTTACAAAATCGATCAATAACTAAACCGATGGATAAGCATATTTCTCTCGATCCATTAGCTACCACTATTAATTAAAGCACACTCTTCACTTTTATAAAAACCTCAATAAATTGACCCTTTATACTCAACTTCAAACTCTTTGAATCCTATGACAATGATAAGTAGGTCATTAACCTAATACTTTTAAAGAAAATCCATAATCTCCTTCTGTGAATATCGCTCAGACTTCTGTCAAGTTAAATATTTTTAGGCAATTTTGTAGCTATAAATCCATCTTATACCATTTCAAAACTTAGCTAAAGTAGAGATACTTTCTCCTGGCTTCAAGTCTAATATAGCTAGATTTGGAAATAGAACAAAGAAATTACAATTGAATTCTAATCTCTGTTCATGGAGATCATGTTTTCGTATTTGAGACATGTACATCAACCGGTCACCTGTTAATCGCATTAACTTGACAGTCTGTAGGTTTTCCAGCCATGAGGAAAGTAACCCATAATTTAAACTTGGAAAAGCCTCGAAAATGTTGAGTTTATTAGCAATTCCACTTTACACGATGCTGAATTCTGAATAATCTACCACAGCTTAAAACCTTGAACCCCGATGTACTTGAGTGTAGGATTTGCTGTTTCCCAATTCGCAATAGGAAGTGTAAATTATGGCAATTTGTTTTCCATGATTTAATGTCAATATATCGATTTATGTTATTCTAACAAGCACAAGTAGAGCACTGACTGTGAACAATTAATTTCGCGAAAGGATATTGATATTTGGTCAATGGGATTGCTAATGTTTGCCTCTTCGTTGCAAAGGTTTGCGTTGAAACTGGAGATTACACTGGGGATGGCGTTCGGATAAATGGTGTTTCAAACGCTCTTCCTTTTCATAAGAAAAAAGCCAGAGATTTTTCTCTTGCAACCCTTGCTAATTTTTGCGCCTAATGATCAGGGACCCCATCAATAATTTTATCACTTTTTTTTGCATTACTCTCTTTGCGATGCTCGTTCCTGTACAACCCACAGATGCTCTCTTCTTTGTGTTTTCCCTCGAATTTGCAATAGATGAATCGTTTTAGTTATGAAAGACTGATCAAAGCGGTTTTGAGTTTTATAGGTGGGGTGACACTGCAAAGCTCTGCATATGACCACGCGTCCTCTCCACCACCACCTCCCCCCCCCCCCCCCCCCCCCCCCCCCCCACCCCCACCCTATATGTAATGAACTGAATGAGTTATCCTATAAACCTCCTTCAACAAAGGCATGCACACACACACACACACACACACCTCGAAATGGAGAAGGAACTTTAATTCAGAAGCTGGGTAGTTGTAACACCTCTTCACTCACGCCTGCCAATGTGAAGTATGGCAAAGGGCAATAGTAGAAGAAGTTGTTAAGTGGAAACTGCTCATTGCAATTACGCCAATAGAATAAAAGGTGAATGTGTGAATGAAACGGTTGCCAGTAAAGACAAAGAATATGGCGAAAATAGTTGACTCTAGCTTACGCAGTCTTGAGTGTGAAGAGTAAACGTGGAATTCATAGGAATATGCAAATGCGATAACTTGGGTTTCGAGAAAAATTTAAATTGAGACTAATAAATTCACAGTCTTCTATTCAAATAAACTTACTTTGGTAAGGAGAGAACATTTATTTGTCGCTTTTCGAATTTCCAGTTCCATCTTCTCCTCGTCAGCGCATTTTAAGAAGCCTTTTATTTTGCTTCGATCCTGTCTTATTGACTCAACTCACTTGAAAGATTCCGATACTTAAATCCTGATTAACAACTTTAACAAGATTATTTAAGTTCTAATGTTTAATTAGTGATTTCTGATTGGCGCATTAATAATTTGTGCCAAATCCTAGTGCTAATTAGAATTTTCATTGTTAAGCTGTCATGACTGGGACTCTTAATTCGAATCTATTGTGGAAGTTATGCGCATAAGCGTCAGAAAACCCTATGCCAAAATCCCCAATAATAAAAGTGCCCTGGAAATGAGATAAGCTGCAACAGGTATATCGAGAAGAGTGATCGTATGGTGTGAATTATGTTTACTCTGATTGTGTGACACTGCCAATAGGCTTAGTCATTAAAACGCAATTAAGGGTGCGCTAATAATACCGCGACTATTGTCTCTCTGTTGGCTGAAAGGTATCTGCACTCACACCGCACTTGATCCATACGAGAGCAGCACAGCGCATGTTCTAGACTGTTCTAGTGCGCATGAGGTTTCTTCGTTCAGCCTCGCCAGAGTTGTGTACTCCGAAAATCTCGAATTCTGTCATCCTTCTGTTCTTTAATTATTCATTGGAACACAATTAGAAGTGGATCAATCGATCTCTCATGTTTAGATCGATTGAAGAATTGTTCATTCCCGCAAAATCTTATATTTCTACTACAATTAAGGAGTCTAAGTAACAAATCTAATTGCATTAAAACAAAATTTTATTTTATTATTTTGACTTATATTTTTTCAGAAATAAATTTCCAATTACAACTGAAATTAGTGATTTCAGCAAAGGCTAAACCTCAAGAGGGCAATTAGGTAATTATTAATTTAAAACAAGGCTGACAAATGCATGAGAACGGAGAAGTTTAATTCTAAGCAGGACCTAATAATTTCACTAAATTCTTAACACTATATTAAACTCCAATAAAAACAAATAATTATTAAATAATGATTGATTTACTGATAGTAAAGAGATTCAATTTTTATTAATGATAAGCAGATGGGCTGTAATCGTAAAAAATAGCAAATATGCAGCCAATAAATCTACCACATTGAAACAAAAAATATAGAACGAAGGATTCCGAATTTGTTTCAGCTTCGAATAGCGCCATCTATCAAACAAGTAAACATGTAAATAGATGCGAGTGTTGACGTAAACAATTCAAAGATCACTATAGTAAAGCCGATAGAAAAACAGAAACAGTGGTCAGCGATGATTCAATTTTTAATTGCTCGTAGTAGTTGTAAAATAAACGAGAAACACTAAAGAAACTATCATAAAGCATCTTGTCAACTACTCTCATATTTCACCAAAATTGTAGCTTCTAGATCACTCGATGATGAAACTTCGTGAACGAGTAGTAACAGGTCACACAATGCAGACCAAAAGAATTCCAATATGCATTCATGATAAAATCACTTGAATTGAAGACTTCATTTAGTCAAGGGGTATATTCACATTAGGCTCATTTCTTCCAATAACCGCCATCTTCCAGTCATAAGTTCAGAGCCAGATAGTCGACAACTCCAAGGTATTCACTTTCGCTTCCTATAACAACTGGGTATCATTTCTACTTTCTACCGCAAAGCAAACGTCCTAGGCTACATCCCGCACCACTGCGGCAAAACTAGGCGATGCAAAAGATAGCCACAACGTTCTCGTTAAACAGCCAATCACTGCCACTCACACGTTCAATCCATTTCCCTCACTGCCAATTAAATTCTTCCTGTTCCAACGATGCCTTGTCACTTCATCTCCACCGTTACCAACGCTTAACAATTCAATTCTGATTTGGGAGGCCGACCACAACCTCCGTGTGTGAAGGACCACATATGTTCAATGAGTCACACAGACGTGGCAAAAATAAACTCCGACATTGGCGACAAGCACTTGCCAAATTGCAGGAATTGATGAACAAGAAGTACATAATAGAAGTCAAGACTTCAACTAACAACTGACAGGGACGCAACACAAGGCGTTGTACAGTCCCCTCTACAGGCCAGAGGCTTTGTGCACTTCACGACGAGGACTAGAAGAGGGAGTGTACGAGCAGACAATGCCAAGTGTGTGTCCACGTGCAACGATTTACAAAGACAGTCTATATGAGTCATTTGGACAAGAACATGAATGCGTGAAGTGTTCTCCCAAGTGAGACAAAACACATGTGGATAGAGAGTTGATAAACCCGTGCACACATGTGAAGCGGCGAGAAGGTGGTTTGGGGAAATTGGGCTTGAGCCAATAGGTATATAAGGTGGTAAACTAACGCCTCTACATGGATGATGAGACAAGGTAGCAACTTCGTTGACCTTTAGTGATTCAGATTTCAGTGTCGAATCAACGAAAGTATCGCCAAATTTGAGACCAATTTTCTCACTTTCACTAGTCTTGACGAATTAGGAACTACATATCTAGGTGTTCTCCTACCTCCCAACAGAAGAAAAGGAACACACAATCTCAAGAAAGAGACTGTATTAAAATAATCTCCCGTTGAAAATGGTGCACAATATTATTAACTCAAAAAGATTATGAAATCTATCAATGAAGAGAGGCAAAATGTAGGATTAAAGCAAAATCTGAAAAAGGCAGGTCATGTGTGTTTTTGTGTGAGTGCATGCGTGAGTGCGTGTGTGCGTGCAGCCATGCAGCCATGATTAGACTAAAGAAATGGATAAAGTTGGTCACCTCGAAAAGCAAATGTCCTCTAGAAGGTGAGGATATTTGCATCAGTGTGGCCTGATGACTTCAATGCTGGAATACAGGCATTATCGATCATCGTGGGTGGACCACAGAGTAGATTCACTGTATTCTCTCCAGCCGGATAGCAGTGCTTATCTATCATTCCTTGATCAATGTACCCTGCACTATAACTCCAATCTAAAATGACATTAACAAAACAGGGTTTAGAAAGAGAAGAAAGTGATAAGCAGCAATAACAACCAGCTCATTAACACGAAATAAGAGGAAGATGGCATAACACAATCCGTCAAACGCATCCCTCAAAGATACAAAATAGAGGCGAGAAATATGAGAGATTAGAAATGTCAATCGAATTTTTCCAGGAATTCTCCACATTGAGAGGCTTGACGCTGCAATCACGGCATTTAAAACCCAATCTTTCCTACCATTGGGATTTCCAAAAGCTCTCACAGAGAATGTTCCAAAGAGCAGGTTAAGGATTGGGCAGTGTCGATAATACTATTAGGAAGCAAAATTCGATCAAATATTTCGGAATATCAAAGAATACATTTTACTCATCCATCTAACTACAGACCAGGCTGCTCAATAATCCATTCGGGTACGGCATTTGCACTTATATGTTACTCCTAAGGGAGCAAACTTACCTTATACGAAGGATATCTACATGTCTACTGTATTAGAACCTATTCCCCTAGAAAGTAGGGAAGTTTGGACTATTAAATGAACAAAAAAAATGCATGATTGGATCAAGTGATTAGAAATCAAATACGAAGCACATACTCTCTGGTGGAGAGGTCAGAGTGTACCACAAACGGAACTGAGTCTGATTAGCATCACGCAGTTGTTCCAATTCATCTCGAAGAATTATATCCTTTTCGGTCTATAAGATAGAAAATTATTCATTCACTATAAAACATGAAGCACCACATAGGCTTTCATAAAATAAACATTGGAGAGTACAGTGGTTTACCTCATTCGCGAAAACTAGGGCTATTTTAGTTTTATCTGTGGTGGAATTGAGAATATGCTTCAGAATCTGGTATATTGGAGTCAGTCCAGAACCACCACAAATCATGTTGATGTTATTCGCCTTCAGTTTGCGAAGATTTGCTCCCTTGATGTCAAAATCACCTAAAAATTTAGGAAACAATAAATTAACTCGTATCACAATTTGAACACAAAATGTTTTTGATATTTTAATAAAACTTACCATCTCCGAGATAGTGAATAAGTCCAAAGGGTCCACTAACATCTATTCCATCGCCAACAGAAAGGGTTTCAAGGTACTGAGACATTTTCCCACCAGCTGGGAACTTTGGATTCACGTCCTTTCTGTACGTCTAATCAAGATTAATTGTGGCTTATATTTAGTAACTTTTAATATAACCGTTTCGACAACTTTAGCAAGAAATATTTACCTTAATAACAAACTTGACATATCCTTTGAAGTCATCCAAAGTGACTGGAGTGTACGGTCGTTTAACATCTTCCCCATTAATTCTGGCGTGAAGCTGAACACACCCACCTATTTGAAATAAATAATCACATTCCAATTCATTATCTCACCGACTGGGAGGCCAAGGATGGTGTCTTGATTTGGAAAACCAAAGGTATAGAGATTAGTATCATGAGTGAGTACTTCTTTATCCACTAAACGCAACGGCAATTTAATACTCTTCCCTTGAAGGTACTTGTGGGGAGACTTTTTGAAAACGAATTTTACTATAAGTCCTCCAGCAAGTGCTAAAGCAGCAATTCCAGCAGTGATAGAAATCTAAGAGATGCTAAAAAGTGTCAAAAACCTACTGGAATAATCCAAGCAAGATCCTCAGACCTGGCCATTCTAGTAATAATTTATAGCCACAGACGAAATCTATTGAATTTTCGCCTGCTATTTGAGTCACGAAATAGTGCATTTAAAAAAAGACTTGCAAAATTAATATTCACGATTAATATCTACAGAAAATTAAAAACTATATAAATTGAGAACAGTAAATAGTATTCTCTCTATTAATATATTGTGTCAACTGTAAAAAATGTAATATTAAAATGGATTTTTCACTTCATTGCATCAAATGCAATATCAAAAAATTTTAGTAGATTATTTAGGTTACTTTGATTTTCAAGTTTCATTTGTGATTATTACAATACGTGCCCCATTATCGATTTTGTTTCAAGAAGATTAGCTACTTCTCAAACACAATTGGTGGATTCACTGCAGTCCAGTTCTCCCTACTTAATTTATACTTCATACATTCGCCTTCTTTAATGTATACTCAGTTTTATGTGCAAGTATAAAAACCCGGTTATTGTAATTAACCATCGACCTCTGAATGCCAATTCACAAAGGACTAAAAGTATTCTAAATTTATTCTTATATTTAATCGCACACTTCATCAACTGGCGATCCGATTATCACTCCTCATTTAATAACCACCAGGAAATAGTAAAGCTTACGTATGTGTTCCTCGAGTATGTGCATTATCAATATGCACGAAGTGTTGAGATCGCATGGGAAATGTTTATGACTGTAGAGGGTAGGTCAACATGAAGATGGCTGAGAACAAATGAAAGCATGTGCTATTTGGTATCTTAAGTAATCAAACTGTGTCACTCTCCTCAAATCCCCAAACAGGTACTGTACTGGGAGACGAACTTTTTGAAACCTATTCTATCTGCCTTACCTCTTGTTGCATCTGAAGTTCACCCCTAATTCTGCTATATTTATCTTATCAGATGTAAGTCAATGGCCGAACTTGAGTGAGAGTCATGATATAGACCGCAACGTTTGCAACATGCTGAGATATCATGCTCCAACTCTCCTAACTGTGACATGAATACACGGCCGTCGCATTGTGTCTCCAGTGTATTATATGTAAGTAACTATAGTTTGGTTTGGCAAATATCACTCTAATTATTCTTACCTTACAAACAACGAGTTCAACTACTCAGCTGCCAACTCTGGAACGTTCAAAGCTGACATGATTTAAGTGTCAACTAGATATTGTAAAGGTACATTTAAATCTGAATCTCATTTTGAGACCACAGGTGTGTGATGACCCTTAAATGAGTTACTGCAGGAATATGAGTACTCCCCATTGACATATGAATTTAAGCCCACCAACAAGTCTACTGTAAGAGTTTGTATGGAATAAATGCCTCGAATTTCGTAATTCGATGCATCTGCTCATTTCGGTATCCTTCATAATGATTCGTCTACTATGTATGAAATGATTCATATTATTACATCACTAATAATTGAAGAAAATTAAAAAGGCACTAATTTCTCCAAGGGGTAATGCTTGCTCTTCATTGATATTTAATTTTTTCATGACAACGTCAACCGTTCAACCTCAAAGTGAAGTTTAAGGCCCTCCATCTTAATTCCAACAGCATCAATATGGAAATCCAGCCTGAAGCACGAGTACTTTAAATGGTTGGAGACTGACTAGTCGTCAATTTTCCTACGGATATCATTGAAATCTCGTTTGGCCTCACGTCTTCAATGTTTATTGAAAGGATAAACACTGAAGACGGCACAATAGGAATGTAAACAAGAACTTATTTATTTATTTCAAATGGCAGGCGTTATGATAGGTATCATTAACCCTTTAGTTGACTTCGGGCTTCACAGAAAGGAAGATGAACATCCACGTAAAAAGTCGAGAGGGGGACAGAATAATGATTCACAGACTTAAAAGAGACAGGCAGACACAAAGGTAGAAAAAAGGTGAGTACTGTTTACTTAGTCGAATATGAAATGCGGTGGGGTCTTGGTAAAAGAGACAGACAGACACAAAGGCAGAGAAAAGGTAGGTAAACAGATACAAAGGCAGAGAAAAAGTAGGGATAAGTATGGTGGAAGTGATCGAATAAGACATACAGTGTAGAGATGACACAAAGGTAGAAAAAAGGTGAGGTGAATACTGTGGAATTATTCGAATATGAAATGCAATGGGGTTATGGTAGTTTAAAGTCAAGTCAACTGCCGGTTAATGGACTTTTTTTGCCGTATGAGTATACGTTGCCCAGGGTGCACCACGTGGAGGTAAGTCTATCACACACCCCATGTAAACAAGAATAAAACTACGAAAAAACACTTAAGCTCAGCAACGATTCACTAAAAATGGTGGAGAAAACACATAAATTATGGGAGGTTTGAAATGAGTGCGAAAATCACCTCTGGGCGCGCTGACCTGGCATCATGAGCTGTGAGTGGAATGAGAATGAAAGCATGCTAATGGAATTATTATAATTGGGAAATAATGATGTTTCGAATTTAAAAGAGAATCTGTTGATTGTTCGTTAGGAAAATTGGCATCTAAGACACGACACGACACTAACACGTCGGTTTTAATGAGTTCAATCTGTCTCAATACCCTGCTGGAGAAAGGTTAGAGATGCTGCTCTCAAAGTTTAATACCCTCCCCTTCTCCCAGCTTATTTCCTCTACTGGTTCTCCGTATTTTCCTACTGTGAATTAAACTCTCAAACCTGATTTTGTCAAATACACACTTAAGCAAATCACAACCCTGAACACGTTTTCGATTCGATTTAACACATTTCAACAGCTAAAAATACTCTATGAGTGAATAACAATTTGCTCTTCACTATGTGCATTTTGTTGACATAAATTATTCACTTTTGTTTTTAAAGTGCCTGGTAGCACTGTAAGACGCTAGTACGGCAGTACCGTAAGCCATCAAAGGCTTCACTTTCAATTATTAGGTGGTTCTCGAGAACAGGAAAAATCTTTTCTGTCAGAATTTGTCTCGTCTCTGCATCACAATGCCACACCCTACTGTGATAGTTGATACCGGCTGTCTGCAAACGGAGATTCTATTTACAATCAACTGCCCTAATCACTGATTTACCAACTTGCCTACTGGAGGCTGTAGCAGTAATAGTAGCCAAATAAGGACAGGATTGGATAAAAAAATTAACCAATGTTGATGGGGGGGGGCACTGCCAGTCAGAAGTGACGAGAACAATGCTGGTCGATGGGAATTCATTGAGGTGGATGGCCAGTCGCGGGAGTGGTTCCATGATGAAATCTAGTTTAGCACAAGGTAGTGTATTCAAATGTTTCAACACAGTGTCCACTTTTGAACAAACAGATTTTCCCCACGATATTGGCAATTTTCAAGTAAGAATTGGTGTCGCACGGAAATTGTTGTGGGATGAAACTGTTATCTGGCCGTTTGAAGGACCATTTGAATTCTCTCATTTTGACAGCCCTGTTTTGTTGCACTAATACTTCACCCGTACCACTGGATTTTGAGTTGGTGAGCAGGAGTGCAGGTCACGATCAAATGAAAATGTGCAGCATCGAAATGATTCTCTCATTTTGGCTCTTTAACTACAATTTCGTTGATAACTTGTCATTAAATCGACTTGGGTGCATATATATGTCCCATTCAGTTGATAGATTATTGATCTGAATGCTGAAATAAGCGTAATTTGGAATGACGTTAGGGCGAGTTCCATCTTCTCACCATTCTACTCTATCATTAGCTTCAAACTAAGTCGAGTGTTGATTGAATACCTTCCGAGAAACAATGTAGCGAAATGTGTTCTAGATTTCGCATTTGGAAACGACATATCTCCCTCACGAACCCCATTTCTCGATGTTAGTTCTCCGACACGAAGAAATTTTGCCACTTTTGATGTTTTTAAATGATGGGGTGGAAATTGCTTTCAAAACAATGCAATCACACAAACTCGTTCGTGGATATCATCGAGATGGCAGGATCTTGTTCGCTCGCGTGACTCCAATACCAAACCTCACTAGACCCCATCTAATGCGAACTCTAATAAAACTTGTAATGAATCTGACAGTAGCTTACAGACACATTAATGGAAATCAAGTAGACATGGAATAGAAGACGATAAACGATTCCTTTATCTGACTTTGGCAAATTCTTGTTAGACATAGCCTCATATTTTTTGAAGCACTAACTCCTGCTTTATGTGTTACTGATTTTTTCTGTGGAATTGTACCGCTTTTCACCTGAGATTATCTGCACTATTTTGTAGCTGTCAAGAATTTTGATCAATTAATTCTTCTCACCAATATTTCCAATTCATACGCTCACTTCAATTACTTCCACTTTCCAATAACACATGGGAATTTCGCCTCCCTGGACTGATTATAAGCATCTCCCATCTTCATTTCACACCTCAATGGCATTTAAGACGATTGATCAGTTTTCATGTCTTTCGGAAAAATAATTAACTCGAATCGTCGGAGGTCATGAGTGGTTCAATTGGTACTGCTTGCAGATTGGAAGTAGACCACTTATCAAACACACACACATGCACATAGTAGTGAAATAAACGAGAAAGATTAAAGAAATAATCATGAAGCATCTTGTCGACTACTCTTATATTTCACCCAACTTGCAGCTTCTAGACCACTCGATGATGAAACTTCGTGAACGAATAGTAACAAGTCACACAATGCAGACCAAAAGAATTCCAATATGCATTCATGATAAAATTACTTGAATTGAAGACTTCAGTTAGTCAAAGAGAGCATTCACAATGTGCTTATTCCAACAAACAACCACTTATGTCCAATCATTGGATCAGAACCAGACAGCCAGCAACACCAAAGTATCCACAAACGAACATATTAGGCTACATCACACACCACTGCGGCAAAACTGGGAGATGCCAAATATTGCCATAACGTTCTCTTTAAACTGCAGATTCACATGCTGGCATCTTCTGATAGCCAATCATTGCCACTCACACGTTCAATCCATTTCCCTCACTGCCAATTAAATTCTTCCTGTTCCAACGATGCCTTGTCACTTCATCTCCACCGTTACCAACGCTTA